AGTGAGTCAACTGTTAAATTTCTTACTGAAAATGCAGAATGAGGCTTCAAATGATAGCAAGATGTATCATCTTCCCTTTACAATAATAGAAACCTCAACAAGTAGAAGAAAAAGGGCAAGTAGACTATCAGGGATTTTACTATGAAAAGAAGAGATACCTAAAAGTAGAACAAGCTATTTATTTGAATTTTCCTATACCCTTTAAATATCAGCTTTCTCAATGTTACTTTTCAGAGATTATAACCTTTTGAAAAATGAAAAGTCACCAAAATGCTATACATTATATTGAAGCAGTTTATCAAAATGTCACCTAGCGGTTGATGCCAATTGCTAACAAGACACTGTGTTTCCTTGTTTAATTGGCTAGCTTACCTAATTATGGCTGCCTTTAGAGATCTATTGATGGTACCTCTCAGAGGAATAGAAAGCACCATTTGAGGCAATTTTATGTAAATACCTAAAAGGGAAGATGAAGTAAGGGGTTATTCCCCATAGAGAATTATTCTTAAAAAATAAAATTTACCTGTTTGCATGGGTCCTTAAATTGTGGAAACACCTCCAAAACAAACCTGAATGATTGCCAGTTACCCATGCTGTTGTACTGCCCAGAAGTTATCTTGCCATACAGCTCAGTAGAAAATAGGAAATACCCTGGAAATTACTCATAAAATGTGAATACCACATGTCAAAGTTGGTGAGCTTTGGATGAACTATAAAGGGTTTTCATTATTTAGGTCTGTGAAAGCAAAGGAAACAGAAATATATCCAATAATGTAAGGCAATGGAACCAGGAAATTTATAAGGCTTAATCTGTGGATTTAATTTAAAATATTGGGCCTTGTTCAAACTGCAACATTAAAAATATTATCCCTGGCTGTGGTAGTGATCACTCAGAGGTCAGGAAAAATAGGATGTCAAATATCCCAAGGTTTTTAGACAAAGGACATTTAATGAATCATTTTCCTTCCAGCTTTCCTTTCTTTCCCTCTCATGTGGACATGAAAGACAAAATCTTAACACATTCTATGATCAATGGAGAGGCTTCCCAGTGCCACTTATCTTAAATACTATATTAATCTTATTTATTACTCCTAGGCTGAAGCTATAGATAATTAAGTGGGCCTAGGCCCATCCATTTTAAGAATGCCAATTTCGAAAATTTCCAGATCACACAGAATTAGACAGGATACCACCAAAACTCACTGCCCTGGATGCTATCACCAAAGTATTGCTCAGCTTTGGGAGAAACAGATAATATCAGAGGGTAGAATAATCTTGGGTTCCATCTACAGTATTAGTTAGGTTTGGAGAAAAAGCAGAACTGTCTCAATCCAGAGTTCCTGGAGAGGAAGTCTGGACATGCTTAGCTTGGCTAGTCCCGGTGATTGTCGGGGCATTCATAACCAGGGCTGTGGGTGCAGCTGTGCGGTGTGCACTGCTCAACTCCAGAGGCTAAGATGCATATGTGCTACCATATGAATGGTGCCCTATTAAGCAGAACAATCCCAAAAACCCAGTTTATTTCACTTCCGAAATGTTTCTAGTGCTGAACGTAGAGAGAAAATTAAATGAGGTGAACAATGCCAGTTAAAATTGTTTAGGGTGTTAAATTAAGCACCTGCCTGGGCATGTCCCAAGAGAACAAAGGCATGACGCTGAGACCTGAGACCACTGTACAGCCTAAAATGTATTCTCTTATCTGGAAGGCATCAGAGACTCTAAGAGCTCACACTGATTTCTGCCAAAAACTACCGGAAAATGGTAATTGGTACACTGGAGATCAGCATTTCACTTAAACTTCTCACTCCTTCCTTATTTCCCCATGTGAGAACGGCTGCATTAAGAGTGCATTGTAAGGAAGAGAAACATGTATTTATGAAATAATTCATTAAACCTAAAGAGTTTTAGAGATACTATTATAATGAAATAATCATATATGTAATTTTGGTTCTAAAAATGGTGACTTTATTCAACCTAGTTCTTTGAACTTGGCCTGGGTGCAAATGACAATTCTGTCTAATTAAAGAATGCAGTAAGAGTCAGTATAGCATTGCTTCCTTTCTGAGGATGTTGAAAAGTTTATATGCATTTGATCATTTTCAAATATCTAAATTAATCATGATAGCAGCTTAAGGAGTAACTATTAGGGAGAAAGTATAATATGAGGTGATGAAGAATAACAATACAGTTAACCTAACCTGGCCACCCACTAGAATTCCAGCCTCCTGAGGACCCTGGAAGTGCGAATGAAATGAATGCTATGATCATATATATAATTTTGGTTCTAAAAATGACTTTATGCAGCCTGGTTGTTTGAACTTAGCCTGGGTGCAAAATGACAATTTTGGGCGTGGGGCCATGTTATGAACTGAATTGTGCCCACCTCCCAATTAAAAGCCCTAACCCCCAATGTAACTGTATTTGAAGACTGGACATTTAAGAAGGTAGTTAAGATTAAATAAGACTGTAAAAGTAGGGCCTCAATTCAATAGTGCTATTATCCCTAGAAGAAAATAAACAGATACCCAGCATGTAGGCATCAGAGGAAAGACTATCAGAGCACACAGTGAGATGGCTATCTGTAAACCAAGAAGAAGAGGGGCCTCAAGAGAAACCAAACCTGCCAATACCTTGATCTTGGACTTCTAACATCAGAACTGTAAGGAAAGAAACTTCTGTTGTATAAGCCACCAGTCTGTGGTATTTGTAATGGCAACTTTAGCAGGCTAGGACAAGAGGGGTCCCATGGACAACTCCCATATGCTCACAAATGACCATGTTTTCCTCCTTTAGCCTATACATGATTCCTTACTTCGTAGTCCCAAGGTATGGCTGGTATGCATTTGTGTGGACATTTGAAAGCAGCTACTAATGTCTTGTTCTCTGGTATCCCCACATTGTCTGTTTGAATTCCAAACTTCAGAGGCTACTGTGATGACCTGTTTCTTTAGCAGTTGCTCAGATGGTACGGGAAAAAAATCTTCTAACTTATGGGTTCTGCTTTGTACCAGTCTACAGTGGGTCTTCCTGGTGCTCTCAGTTTGTTTGAGATACTCTGAAGAAAGCAGTTTTTATTTATTTATTTATTTATTTATTTATTTATTTATTTATTTTAGTCCACCTTTCCCTTGAAGTTTGCTTCCAAAATCTGAATAAAACTGGAATTTTCCAACTTAAGATCCATCTTAGCTTAGTATTGCAACTAAGCAAAATACCAATCAAAAGCCTAGAAAAATATTGCATGTCTTTATTGAAATTTCCTGATAAATGAAAACAAAAGAGGAAAACTGCATCACAAAATGTACAACAAAACTTCCTAAGAATTTATTTTATTCACTGGGTCCCAGAGTTCAATACAGTATGACAAATGCCCTGTCCAGAAAGAATTAAAATAGCAGACCTGAGACTGCTATCCTTATAAAGGCCTGCATGCAACATTGACTGATGTCTGTAACCTTGGATTTCAAGAGAGTTTCCACAACTGTAATTGATAAGAATTGCTAAGTATGCCTAAACTGATCACATAAACAATGAGGTTTACACTGAACACCTGCTTTCCTTCTGGGAGTCTAGAATTTTGTTATGTGCCAGGCAGAGGGTACCTATGTGACAAGCTACCAATGAAACCCCTGGACATTGAGTATCTAATGAGCTTCCCTGGTAAATAACATTTTACATATATTATCACAATTTGTTGCTGGAGGACTTGAGTGCAATCTATGTGACTCCACTCAAAGAAAACTCCTGAAAGCATGGTTTCCTCTAGACTTGGTCCCTGTGCCTTTATATTTTGCTGATTTTGCTTTGTATCTATTAACTATAAAAAATCATAGCTCTCTACTGAAAATACAAAAATTAGCCAGGTGTGGTGGCGAGTGCCTGTAATCCCAGCTAGTCGGGATTCTGAGTCAGGAGAATTGCTTGAACTCTGGAGGCGGAGGTTGCAGTGAGCCAAGATCACACCAATGCACTCCAGCCTCAGCCTGGCGACAGAGCAAGACACCCTCTCAAAAAAAACAAAAAAACAAACAAAAAAAAAAACCTGTAGCTGTGAGTACAACTGTTTGCTGAGTCCTGTTAATCCTCTTAGTAAATCATGGAACCTAGGTGGTCTTGGGGACCCCGACACATGTTCTAATCACTCTTTTCTCATTTTCCTGTTAAAATTCTAGCTATGCCCTTCCAATTCTACAGGACTTAGAAAATATAAATCAATTAAATGAAATTATAAATAGAAAATATGAATCAATTTATATTTGACATTAGCAAAAATGATGGGGTAGTTAACCCCAAACTGTTTTCTTTCACAAAACAGTGAATTAAGCTAGCGAAAACTGTAAACATCAGTTTTTTAGGTCTCTGGAATCTCATAAAAAAGTTACCATAACCAGAGAAATGCTAAATAAATAGATAATAGTTTGATTTCAGTAAATTAGCTCTGTTTTATTTTACTAGGCTTGCTACCATCCTGTACTTCCTAACTCAGCCTTGAAGATGACTGATTGCATTGCTACTGTAGGTTGCTGATACCAGAAAGTGCAATATGGGATAAATTCAAGGAGATCCATATTGAGCCACATTTTCAAAAGCAAAAAAAAATTATTGAAAGCAGAAAGAGAAAAACGTTGTCATTTACAAAGATGCCACAATAAGATTAATAGCCAATTTCTCATCAGGAACTATGAAAGCTAGAAAGCAGTGGGAGACTATATTAAAATGTAAACCAAGAGTCCTGTATCTAGGAAAACTATCCCCCAAAAATGAAAGGGAAATTAAGACATTCCCAGGTAAACAAAAACTGAAGGAGTTAATTGCTCTTAGTCGAGAAATACTAAAGAAAGTTCCTTAAACTGAAATGACACTAGATAGTGACCCAACATCATATGAAGAAGTAAATAACAGTAAAGGTATAGATAGGTAAATATAAAGGCCATTATTATTATATTTTGGATTCATAATACTTCTTGCTATTTCTATGTGATTTAATTTTTGTTTTTTAGAAAGGAAAGAAGAAAAGAAAGAAAGGAGTGAAGGAGAAGAATGAAGAAGAAGAAGGGAGAGAGAACGGTACTATTGCTTTATTCTAAAAATGGGTATTAATAATGGCCGATCGATATTTTGTGTATTTAAAGTGGAGAATGTATATTTTGTTTATTTAAAATGGAGAGCTCTATAAATATTTATTAAGTTTACTTGTTCCAGATCTGAGTTCAAGTCCTGGTTGTTCTCATCAATTTTCTGTCTCGTTGAGTCTAAATCTCTTTATGGGTCGTATGTATCTGGGTGTTAGGATTGTTAGCTCTTATTGTTGCATTGATCCTTTTACCACTATGAAATCTATTTTATCAGATGCGAGAATTGCAACTCCTGCTTTTTATTTATTTATTTTTCCTCTCCATTTGGTTGGTAAGTCTTTCTCCATCCCTTTGTTTTGAGTCTTTGTGTATCTTTGGATGTGAAATGGGTCTGGATATAGCATACCATTAGGTTTTGGCTGTATCTTTTGATTGGGGGATTTAGACGACTTAAATTTAGGGTTTCTGCCATTCGATGTTAACTGGCTATTTTATCCATTCATTGATATAAATTATTTATGTTGATGCTCTTTACTTTTTGGTATATTTTTAGAAAGGCTAATACTGATTGTTCCTTTCTATGTATAATGCTTCTTTCAGAAGCTCTTGCAAAGCAGGCCTGGTGGTAATAAAATCTCTGAGTACTTGCTTGTTCATAAAAGATTTTAGTTTTCCTTCAATTACGAAGCTTAGTTTGGCAGGATATGAAATTCTGGGCTGAAAGTTCTGTTCTTTAAGGATGTTGAATATTGGCCCTCACTCTCTTCTGGCTTGTAGGGTTTCTGCTGAGAGATCTGCTGTAAGTCTAATAGGCTTCCCTTTGTGGGTAACCTGACCTTTCTCTCTGGCTGCCCTTAGTATTTTCTCCTTCGTTTCAACCCTGGTGAATCTAATGATTATGTGCCTTGGGGTTGCTCTTCTTGAGGAATATCTTTGTGGTGTTCTCTGTATTACCCAGGGGTTAAATATTGTCCTGCTTTGCTAGATTGGGAAAGTTTTCCTGAATAATAACCTGAAGAGTATTTTCCAGCTTGGATTCATTCTCTCCGTCACATTCAGGTATACCTATCAAACATAGATTAGGTCTTTTCACATAGTCCCATATTTCTTGGAGACTTTGCTCATTTCTTTTTATCCTTTTTTTTCTCTATTCTTGTCTTCTCATTTTATTTCATTAAGTTGGTCTTCGACCTCTGATATCCTTTCTTCTGCTTGATCAATTCAGCTATGCAAACTTGTGCATATTTCGCTAAGTTCTCATGTTGTGTTTTTCAACTCCATTAGTTCATTTATATTCCTCTCTATATTATCTATTCTTGTTAGTATTTCGTCAAACCTTCCTTCAAAGTTCTTAGTTTCTTTACATTTGGTTAGAACAAGTTCTTTTAACTCTCAGAAGTTTCTTATCCATCTTCTGAAGCCTACTTCTGTTAATGGAACACAGTACTTCTCTATCAGGGCTTGTTCAGTTGCTGATGAGGAACTGTAATCCCCTGTAGAGTAAGAGGGGTTCTGATTTTGGGTATTCTCAGCTTTTTTAGGCTGGTTTCTTCCCTTTGTTATAAATTTATCCCTCTGTTGTCTTTACAATTACTGCCTTTCTAATTAGGTTTCTGAGTGGATTTCCAGTTTATTGATTCCCAGCGCTGGAATCCGAGCAACCCACTGTGCCGGCCAAAACAGCAGAGATAAGACTGATGGTGCTCTTCTGCCTGGGAATCTCCAGTCTGGCTTTCTTCTTGAGTCCGTAAGTGGCTCTGCCTTCCCGGAGCTCCAAACATTGGTCAGAAGGGGAACCAGGCCAGGCGCGGTGGCTCAAGCCTGTAATCCCAGCACTTCGGGAGGCTGAGGCGGGTGGATCATGAGGTCAAGAGATTGAGACCATCCTGGTCAACATGGTGAAACCCCATCTCTACTAAAAATACAAAAACTTAGCTGGGAGTGGTGGCGCATGCCTGTAATCCCAGCTACTCAGGAGGCTGAGGCAGGAGAATTGCCTGAACCCAGGAGGTGGAGGTTGCAGTGAGCCGAGATCGTGCCATTGCACTCCAGCCTGGGTAACAAGAGCGAAACTCCGTCTCAAAAAAAAAAAGAAGGGGAACCAGTCCCGTTTACTCTGCATGAAGAGCTGCCGCCACGCCGAGGCACCAGCAAAACCATTGCGCCGGCCACAAGAGTCGCGCTGGCAATACGTGGGGCTCCTCCACTGGGAATCTTCTGGTCCTTGAGCGACAAAAACTCGTCTGAAAGTGTGGCATCCTCTCATTCTCTGCACTTTCACTGGGAGCTACAATACTGAGCTGTTAGCGATCAGCCATCTTGGATCCTTTTTTTTTTTTTTTTTTTTTTTTTGCTATGAAAGTGCTTTATTAGGCCAGACTACTTACTATGAAAATGCTTTAAAATCCAGCAGGAGGAGATGTAAAGACTTGAAGAAGAGCATAGTGACAATGGCTATCAGAACACACTAAATCTATGTGATTTAAAAGATAAATTAATAAAACAATAATTATGAAGCTACATTAATAGGTTTATAGTGTGTAAAGGTATATAATCTGTTATGGTAACAGCACGAGGCAGGAGTACAGATATATTAGAGTAAAGTTTTTCTATATAGGCATACCTCATATATATTGCAGGTTGGGTTCAGACCACTGTAATGAAGCAAATATAATCAAGTGAGTTGTGCAATGTTTTTCGTTTTCTGGTACAATCGTTTTAGTTTTCTGATGCATATGAAAGTTATGCTTATACTCTAATGTAGTCAATCAAGTGAAAAATAGCATTATATCTAAAAAACAATATATATACTTAATTTTAAAATACTTTGTTATTTAAAAATGCTAGTAATCATCTGAGACTTCAGCTAGTTATAATTGTTTGCTGGTTGAGCGTCTTGCCTCGATGTTGGTGGCTGCTGACTAATCACTAACCAGGATGGTGGTTGCTGAAGGTTGGGGTGGCTGTGGCAATTTCTTAAAATAAGACAATGATGTTGCTCCATCAATTGACTCTTCCTTTCATGGAATATTTCATGAGATGCTGTTTGATAGCATTTTACCCACAGTAGAACCATTTTCAGAATCAGAGCCAATCTTCTCAAACCCTGCCACTGCTTTATCAACTAAATTTATGTAATGTCCTAAGTACTTCATTGTCATTTCAATAATGACAAAGAATTCACAGCATCTTCACCAGAAATAGATTCCATTGAAGACATTACTTTCATTGTTCATTCATAAGAACCAATTCCTGATCCATTCAATTTTTATTATATGATTGTGGCAGTTCTGTTAAATCCTCAGGTTCTATTTTAATTCTAGTTATTCTGCTATTTCTTCATCTTCAGTTACTTCCTCTACTGAAGTCTTAAACTCCTCAAAGTCATCCATGAAGGTTGTAATAGACTTCTCCTAAACTCCTGTCAATGTTGATATTTTGATCTCCCCCCATGACTAACCTACCTTTCTTTCTTTTCCTTCCTTCCCTCCTTCCTTTCTTCCTTCCTTCCTTCTCTCTCTTTCTTTCTTTCTCTTTTTTGAGATGGAGTTTTGCTCTTGTCACCCAGGCTGGAGTGCAGTGGTGTGATCTTGGCTCACTGAAACCTCTACCTCCGGGTTCAAGTAATTCTTCTACCTCAGCCTCCCGAGTAGCTGGGATTACAGGTGCCTGCCACCACACCTGGCTAATTTTTGTATTTTTAGTAAAGACAGGGTTTCACCATGGTGGCTAGGCTGGTCTGGAACTCCTAGCCTCAGGTGATCTACCTGCCTTGGCCGCCCAAAGTGCTGGGATTATAGGCATAAGCCACTGCACCCAGCCAATGGTAACTTTCTTAATGGCATCTAGAATGGTGAATCCTTTCCAGAAGGTTTTAAGTTTACTTTGCCCATTTCCATCAGAGAAATCACTATGAATGGCAACTACAGGCTTATTAAATGTATTTCTTAAACAATAAGACTTGAAAGTAGAAATTACTCCTTTATCCTTGGACCGCAGACTGAACATTGTGTTCACCAGCATGAAAACAACATTGATCTTGTAAATCTTCAACAGAGCTCTTGGGTGACTAGGTTCATTGTCAATAAGCAATAATATATTGAAAGGAATCTTGTTTTCTAAACAGTAGGTCTCAATAGTGGGCTTAAAATATTCAGTAAACCATGCTGTAATCAGAGGTACTGTCATCCAGGCTTTGCTCTTTCATTTAGAGAGCACAAGCAACATAGATTTTGCATAATTCTTAAGGGTGCTAGGATTTTCAGAATGGTAAATAACATTGACTTTAACTTAAAGTCACCAGCTGCATTCATCTCTAATAAGAAAGTTAGCCTGTCCTTTGAATCTTTGAAGCCAGGCATTGATTTCCCCTTGCTAGCTATGAAAGCTTGAGATGACATCTTCTTCCAATAGAAGGCTGTTTCACCTGCATTGAAAATATGTTGTTTAGTGTAGCCACTTTCATTAATTATCTTAGCTGGATCTTCCAGGTCATTTGCTCTAGCTTCTACATCAGCACTAGCTGTATCTTCTTGCACTTTTATGTTACAGAGTTAGCTTTTCCCCCTAAACCTTATAAACCAATCTTTCCTAGCTTCAAACTTTTCTTCTGAAACTTCACTCTCTCGGCCTCCATAGATTTGAAAATATTTAGGCTTTGCTATGGATTAGGCTTTGACTGAATGGAATATTGTGGCTAGTTTGATCTTCTATCCACAATACCAAAATTTTCTCCAACACAAGCAATAAGGCTAATCTCTCTTATTTGTGTATTTACTAGACTAACACTTTTAACTTCCTTCAAGAACTTTTTCTTTGCCTTCACAACCTGGCTGTTTGTCACAAGACACCTATCTTCAGCCTTCAATATACTGTCCTCACTAGGCCTAATCATTTCTAGGTTTTTGATTTAAAGTGAGAGACATATGATTCTTCTTTTCACTTGAACACAGAGAGGCTATTGTAGGCTTATTTGCCTAATTTTAATATTGT